TTCATTTTCTCGAAGCCGTTTTTCGTCATTGATCTGAGAAACCGGTTGCATACAACTGACAGTTTAGATATTTCTGAGCAGGCCTGGCACCATGCGTGACATCAACAAAAGTAACTCCCTATGTATAATAGATTCTCCCGTTTAACTATAATTTTTAGAAGACGGGAGAGTCCATCATTCATGAAATAGGGAGTTACTTTTTAATCACCCTGTATAATATTCCTCTTTCTTTCGTTATGTATTTGCTGATATTAACCACTACAGACTTAGTGTAGGTAAGCGCGGACAATCGGCATTATCTGTTGGAATTTTGGGGTACCCTGTACGTACTAGTGAGCTAGCCAAAATGAACTGACTCATTTTATAGAGGTTTTACAGAGGTTGGCAGTGAATATTCGGAGAAAGTAGCAGCTGTCCAGTAATTTTTCAGTGTAACTGAGGACCACCAATAGAAGGGTTAACCAATCAGAAGGCTCAGAATATTCAATGCGACGTGTATAAAGGCGGTCATGTTTTTTTTTCGAATATTAGTTGCCAGCCTCTGATATCGAAGACCTGAAGAGTTACAGAACAGCTGCTACTTACTCCGAATCTTCACTGCCAACCTCTGATATCGAAGACCTGAAGAGTTACTGAACAGCTGCTACTTACTCCGAATCTTCACTGCCAACCTCTGATATCGAAGACCTGAAGAGTTACTGAACAGCTGCTACTTACTCCGAATATTCACTGCCGACCTCTGATATCGAAGACCTGAAGAGTTACTGAACAGCTGCTACTTACTCCGAATCTTCACTGCCAACCTCTGATATCGAAGACCTGAAGAATTACAGAACAGCTGCTACCTCCGAATCTTCACTGCCAACCTCTGATATCGAAGACCTGAAGAGTTACTGAACAGCTGCTACTTACTCCGAATCTTCACTGCCAACCTCTGATATCGAAGACCTGAAGAATTACAGAACAGCTGCTACTTACTTCGAATCTTCACTGCCAACCTCTGATATCGAAGACCTGAAGAATTACAGAACTGCTTCGAATCTTCACTGCCAACCTCTGATATCGAAGACCTGAAGAGTTACTGAACAGCTGCTACTTACTCCGAATCTTCACTGCCAACCTCTGATATCGAAGACCTGAAGAGTTACTGAACCTGAAGAATATTTGCCAACCTCTGATATCGAAGACCTGAAGAGTTACTGAACAGCTGCTACTTACTCCGAATCTTCACTGCCAACCTCTGATATCGAAGACCTGAAGAATTACAGAACAGCTGCTACTTACTTCGAATCTTCACTGCCAACCTCTGATATCGAAGACCTGAAGAGTTACTGAACAGCTGCTACTTACTCCGAATCTTCACTGCCAACCTCTGATATCGAAGACCTGAAGAGTTACTGAACAGCTGCTACTTACTCCGAATCTTCACTGCCAACCTCTGATATCGAAGACCTGAAGAATTACAGAACAGCTGCTACTTACTCCGAATCTTCACTGCCAACCTCTGATATCGAAGACCTGAAGAATTACAGAACAGCTGCTACTTACTCCGAATCTTCACTGCCAACCTCTGATATCGAAGACCTGAAGACCTGAAGAGTTACTGAACAGCTGTTACTGAACAGCTGCTACTTACTCCGAATCTTCACTGCCAACCTCTGATATCGAAGACCTGAAGAATTACAGAACAGCTGCTACTTACTTCGAATCTTCACTGCCAACCTCTGATATCGAACTGCCAACCTCTGATATCGAAGACCTGAAGAGTTTACTTGAATCTTCACTGCCAACCTCTGATATCGAAGACCTGAAGAATTACAGAACAGCTACTTACTCCGAATCTTCACTGCCAACCTCTGATATCGAAGACCTGAAGAGTTACTGAACAGCTGCTACTTACTCGGAATCTTCACTGCCAACCTCTGATATCGAAGACCTGAAGAGTTACTGAACAGCTACTTACTCCGAATCTTCACTGCCAACCTCTGATATCGAAGACCTGAAGAGTTACTGAACAGCTGCTACTTACTCCGAATCTTCACTGCCAACCTCTGATATCGAAGACCTGAAGAAGTTACTTACTCCGAATCTTCACTGCCAACCTCTGATATCGAAGACCTGAAGAGTTACTTGCTACTTACTCCGAATCTTCACTGCCAACCTCTGATATCGAAGACCTGAAGAATTACAGAACAGCTGCTACTTACTCCGAATCTTCACTGCCAACCTCTGATATCGAAGACCGAAGACCCTGAAGATCGAAGACCTGAAGAATTACAGAACAGCTGCTACTTGCATCCGAATCTTCACTGCCAACCTCTGATATCGAAGACCTGAAGAAACGAATCTTCACTGCCAACCTCTGATATCGAAGACCTGAAGAGTTACAGAACAGCTGCTACTTACTTCGAATCTTCACTGCCAACCTCTGATATCGAAGACCTGAAGAGTTACTGAACAGCTGCTACTTACTCCGAATCTTCACTGCCAACCTCTGATATCGAAGACCTGAAGAGTTACTGAACAGCTGCTACTTACTCCGAATCTTCACTGCCAACCTCTGATATCGAAGACCTCAGCTGCTATTACTCCGAATCTTCACTGCCAACCTCTGATATCGAAGACCTGAAGAATTACAGAACACTGCACTCCGAATCTTCACTGCCAACCTCTGATATCGAAGACCTGAAGAGTTACTGAACAGCAAACATGGTCTGCCAACCTCTGATATCGAAGACCTGAAGAGTTACTGAACAGCTGCTACTTACTCCGAAACCAACCTCTGATATCGAAGACCTGAAGAATTACAGAACAGCTGCTACTTACTCCGAATCTTTGCCAACCTCTGATATCGAAGACCTGAAGAGTTACTGAACAGCTGCTACTTCCGAATCTTCACTGCCAACCTCTGATATCGAAGACCTGAAGAGTTACTGAACAGCTGCTACTTACTCCGAATCTTCACTGCCAACCTCTGATATCGAAGACCTGAAAGATTTACACTCCGAATCTTCACTGCCAACCTCTGATATCGAAGACCTGAAGAATTACAGAACATACTCCGAATCTTCACTGCCAACCTCTTATCGAAGACCTGAAAGTTACTGAACAGCTGCTCCACGAATCTTCACTGCCAACCTCTGATATCGAAGACCTGAAGAGTTACTGAATGTTCCTTCAACCTCTGATATCTTTCCGAAATCTTCGAACTGCCAACCTCTGATTCGAAGACCTGAAGAATTACTGAAAGATCTCCGAATCTTCACTGCCAACCTCTGATATTGAAGAATTACAGAACAGCTGCTTTTCCGAATCTTCACTGCCAATGATATCGAAGACCTGAAGAGTTACTGAACATTTCAGTTCACTGCCAACCTCTGATATCGAAGACCTGAAGAGTTACTGAACAGCTGCTACTTACTTCGAATCTTCACTGCCAACCTCTGATATCGAAGACCTGAAGAGTTACTGAACTTTGCTATACTCCGAATCTTCACTGTTCTGATATCGAAGACCTGAAGAGTTACTGAACAGCTGCTACTTACTCCGAATCTTCACTGCCAACCTCTGATATCGAAGACCTGAAGAATTAACTTACTCCGAATCTTCACTGCCAACCTCTGATATCGAAGACCTGAAGAATTTGCTAATCCTTCGAATCTTTGCCAACCTCTGAATCGAAGACCTGAAAATTACTGAACAGCCATGAATCTTCACTGCCAACCTCTGATATCGAAGACCTGAAGAGTTACTGAACAGCTGCTACTTACTTCGAATCTTCACTGCCAACCTCTGATATTGAAGAGAAATCGAATCTTCACTGCCAACCTCTGATATCGAAGACCTGAAGTTACTGAACAGCTGCTACTTACTCCGAATCTTCACTGCCAACCTCTGATATCGAAGACCTGAAGAGTTACTGAACAGCTGCTACTTACTCCGAATCTTCACTGCCAACCTCTGATATCGAAGACCTGAAGAGGAACAGCTGCTACTTACTCCGAATCTTCACTGCCAACCTCTGATATCGAAGACCTGTAAAGAATTTTTACAGAACAGCTGCTACTTACTTCGAATCTTCACTGCCAACCTCTGATATCGAAACCTGAAGAATTACAGAAACCTGAATCTTTGCCAACCTCTGATATCGAAGACCTGAAAGTTTGAACAGCTGCTACTTACTCCGAATCTTCACTGCCAACCTCTGATATTGAAGAGTTACTGAACAGCTGCTACTTACTCCGAATCTTCACTGCCAACCTCTGATATCGAAGACCTTTACAGAACAGCTGCTACTTTCGAATCTTCACTGCCAACCTCTGATATCAAAACCTGAAGAATTACAGAACAGCTGCTACTTACTCCGAATCTTCACTGCCAACCTCTGATATCGAAGACCTGAAGAGTTACTGAACAGCTGCTACTTACTCCGAATCTTCACTGCCAACCTCTGATATCGAAGACCTGAAGAGTTACAGAACAGCTGCTACTTACTCCGAATCTTCATGCCAACCTCTGATATCGAAGACCTCTACTTACTCCCGAATCTTCACTGCCAACCTCTGATATCGAAGACCTGAAGAGTTACTGAACAGCTGCTATAACTCCGAATCTTCACTGCCAACCTCTGATATTATTCTGAAGAGTTACTGATTGTACTCGAATCTTCACTGCCAACCTCTGATATCGAAGACCTGAAGAATTTATCGAATTTCAACCTCTGAATCGAAGACCTGAAGAGTTACTGAAAAAATCCGAATCTTCACTGCCAACCTCTGATATCGAAGACCTGAAGAATTACAAAAAGCTGCTACTTACTCCGAATCTTCACTGCCAACCTCTGATATCGAAGACCTGAAGAGTTACTTGCTACTTACTCCGAATCTTTGCCAACCTCTGATATCGAAGATTAAACCTCGAATCTTTGCCAACTCTGATATCGAAGACCTGAAGAATTACAGAACAGCTGCTACTTACTTGAATCTTGGCGCCAACCTCTGATGTTTGTCGGGGAGGAAAACTGTCAGAATCTTCACTGCCAACCTCTGATATCGAAGACCTGAAGAATTGGAACAGCTGCTACTTACTTCGAAGTGCCAACCTCTGATATCGAAGACCTGAAGAGTTTGAATCTTCACTGCCAACCTCTGATATCGAAGACCTGAAGAGTTACTGAACCTTACTCCGAATCTTCACTGCCAACCTCTGATATCGAAGACCTGAACAGCTTACTTACTCAGAATCTTCACTGCCAACCTCTGATATCGAAGACCTGAAGAATTACAGAACAGTTAGACTTCGAATCTTTGCCAACCTCTGATATCGAAGACCTGAAGAATTACAGAACAGCTGCTATTTACCGAATCTTCACTGCCAACCTCTGATATGAAGACCTGAAGAGTTACTGAACAGCTGCTACTTACTCCGAATCTTCACTGGTAACCTCTGATATCGAAGACCTGAAGAGTTACTGAACAGCTGCTTCCGAATCTTCACTGCCAACCTCTGATATCGAAGACCTGAAGAATTTCACTGCCAACCTCTGATATCGAAGACCTGAAGAGTTACTCTGCTACAGAATCTTCACTGCCAACCTCTGATATCGAAGACCTGAAGAATTACAGAACAGCTGCTACTTACTCCGAATCTTCACTGCCAACCTCTGATATCGAAGACCTGAAGAGTTTTTACTTTCTTTGCCAACCTCTGATATCGAAGACCTGAAGAGTTTTGCTACTTTCCGAATCTTTGCCAACCTCTGATATCGAAGACCTTTACAGAACAGCTGCTACTTTTATCTTTGTGATATCGAAGACCTTTACTGAACAGCTGCTACTTCTCCGAATCTTCACTTCTGATATCGAAGACCTGAAGAATTACAGAACAGCTGCTACTTACTCCGAATCTTCACTGCCAACCTCTGATATCGAAGACCTGAAGAATTTTACTCGAATCTTTGCCAACCTCTGATATCGAAGACCTGAAGAGTTACTGAACAGCTGCTCTTTCTCCGAATCTTCACTGCCAACTCTGATATCGAAGATTGAAGAATTACAGAACAGCTGCTACTTATCCGAATCTTCACTGCCAACCTCTGATATCGAAGACCTGAAGAATTACAGAACAGCTGCTACTTACTCCGAATCTTCACTGCCAACCTCTGATATCGAAGACCTGAAGAATTACAGAACAGCTGCTACTAGTGATATTGGCGTTGTTCCATTGAACACATTACGTACTGCACTGGATTCTTTATTCAAAGACTACGGCAAACATGGTCAACATTATCGAACCAATGGTTCCAAAGTTTTATCCGTTAAAACGATGAGTGAGTGCAATCTTTTTCTTTTTTTAAGATTTTCAGGAATATAGATTTCTCAAGTCCACGAGCTGTTATCGCTCTTTGCAGTAATGATGTTCCTTCCTAACTTTTAATTTGAAATGGTGTGGAAGATCGACATTTTAATTAATTCATTATTTTCTCTTTGAGTGATATCCATTTTAGTTGTTTATTGCTGTTGAAAGTACTCGAGTGATGTGGTTTCTGTTATTTGACAGTTCTTTGTATATGGTTCTGAACTGGAAGCTTCACAAGCTTTGAAGAGGATAATAGACTTCACTCATTTTTAATCCTTGATTTAAAAAAAATCCCCATGCTTTCGGCCTTGTGCCACACTTTAGCATCGTTTAGAAAATCACCAATATATCAAGCTGAGAAACACTCTCGCTGGCAGAGGCGGAAACGTCGTGGCCAGAGGTCGTAGTCATAAAATCGTAAAGTCACATATATCGTAAGTTGACAACAACCTGTTTCACTTGCAATTTGATTTACATTTGTGCATATTGAATTTGTTTCAACACACCTAAACATTGGGCAGTCGGGATCTAGTTTAAAAGATCCTTATGACTGGAATGATTTCGATTCAAAACATTTCTCCCTATATGTGTAGCCTTGAGCCAGACTAAGCGAATATAACTATCATTAAGTTATTCGCATGATTGTCTGGTCCTATTTATCGAATTTCAAATCTTTAAAAAAATGAAATTTTGACAGTTAAAAGAATTGCGAAGGTTGTTTAGATTAAATCTCTTTTTTTTTGTCGGTGGGTTGGCGTGTCTGTTTGTCGGGAGGAAAACTGTCAGGTGTCGCATTGACCTTGGTTGGGTTGGTGTTTTGATTGATTGTTTTTTACGGCTTATCAACCTTTGACTGAGTTGGATAATCATCTTGTATCTTCAACTGTTAGATTCTTTTTTTTTCTCTTTGACTTTCTTTTCGTCTTTGTTAGCTTCCTTTTTTTTCTTTTTTCACAGATTATAATTTATTTTTTGAGATCTTATACGTCTTGATTTTCTTTCTTTCTTTCTTTCTTCTTTTCTTTTCTTTCTTTTTTTCTTTCTTTTATTTGTTCTTTTCGATTTTCTTCTTCTGTCTTTCACACAACTCTTCTTAGGGTACTCGTTAGCAAGGCTACTCAGGTTAATTATTAGTAATGAGTCGTAAGGTGAATCCTCACTGGGTACCCCATACAACATTCGATATTCACCCAACAGGAGGTGACATGTAAATTGAACCAATTTTTTTTATTTCTCTATCTCTGTTCATACTTCCTTTTTTTTGTCTTTCCTTTTTGGGTTTCTCTTTTTAATTTATTTTTTGTTTTCTTCTCCTTCCTTCCGTTCTTTTAGTTCTTACCTTTTTCTTTCGTTTTATTTTCACTCTTTTTTATATTCTTTTTTTCTTTTTACATGTTTTCTCTCTCTTCATTCATTTTCTTTCTTTCTTTCTTTCTTTCTTTCTTTTCCTCGTCGTTTTGCTTGTTTGTTTGTTGTTTCTTTCTTATTTTCTTTTTCTCTCTCTTTCCGTCCTTTTTTTTCCCTCTTTCATTTTTAGAACTTTTTCTCTTTCTGACTTTCTCCTTATTCATTGATTTTCTCTTTCTCTCTGCTTCTCTCTCTCTTTTCATTCATTTTTTTTCTTTCATTTCTTTTCTTTTCTTTTTGGAGTGCATTTTCTTTCTTTGTCCATTTTTAACTTATTTTTTCTGTCTTTTTATTCTTTCTTTCTTTTCTTTTTTTCTTTCGTTCTTTCTTTTTTAGCTTCTTTCCTTCTTGAGTTTCTTTCGGTCCTTTTTTAGTTTTTTTATTTATTTCTTTTTTCTTTTTTTGATTTTCTTTCTTTCTTTCGTTCCCGAGTTTTTCTTTTTTTTCTTTCTCTTTAGCATTTCTCTCTTTTTATGTCTTTGTGACCTTTCTTTCTTTCTTTCTTTCTTTCTTTCTTTCTTTCTTTCTTTCTTTCTTTCTTTAGTTTCATTTTTCTGTCTTTTTCCTTTTTTCGTTTTTTTTTCTTTTGAGTTGCTTTCTTTCTGTCCGTTTTTAGTCTTTCTTTCTTTCTTTCTTTCTTTCTTTCTTTCTTAAAGACTTCATGTCCTTCTTCCATATGAGAATCACGTATGTTTCATTTTCAATCGACATCACTTCATATGATATTTCTGTCCACTGAAATCATACCAAGCAACTGAGGTGGAATTACTTCCTCTCGAAGCAATACAAGGAACCACACGCTGTTATTTCAAACCTTATCTACGCATGCGCAGACACAGCGAAATAATTCCTTCCTCTTCCAGACAGTTAACATTGTTGACATGAAAAGCCGTTGAATAATTAATCGATGACTATATAAACACATTGAACGATGTTATGTAAAGTAACCATTAAAATCGCCGGATTATATCACATGTGACTAAGCAAAATGGTTTCCAATTTGATAACTCACTAACAGTGAAAAAGGCCTGAGGTCAAATATTTCCCTTTCTGTGGACACATGCTACGACGTTGATATTACGAACATCATTAGTAGCGTAAATATTTATATAGCCCCTGACACCACCGACTGGGTTCATAAAATATGCTATCGCGGGTAGGAGGCCTCACTATCTTTATTTTTAATCGCCGGTTACTCTCGTTTTTCCAAGAATACCAGGTGCTGTAAGCGTGGATGTGTGGGTGGTGTAATGGATAATGGCTCGGATATTTAAGCGGAGTGCAGAGTTCCAATTCCAATTAGGGTTCGTTATATTCACTTACGTGCAAACGCACTTGGGAAAAAGTTTGAATCCAACTTTTCTCCCCAAGTTATGGGTTAATTAGTAAGACTTGTATCACAAAAAAATCTTGCAATCTTACTACTTTTATTCTTACAATTTTATGTCATTAATTCTTACAATTTTATGCCATTAATTTTATGTCATTAATTTTTACAATTTTATGTCATTAATTTTATGTCATTAATTCTTACAATTTTATGCCATCAATTTTATATCATTAATTCTTAAAATTTTATGTCATTTCATGTTCGTCCTTGTTTGCAACTTGCTGACAACCATGCATCGTCTTCTTATAGCTAATAGTCCTCCATGCTTTTCCTTTAAAAATCTTTTGCGAGAGCTCTTTCAGTTTTTCTTCCCAGTCTGTCATCAATACAATACTGACAAACGCAGGTTCCTAACAGGTAGGTTCCTGAAGGTAATTATTATTGTCCAGCCCTCCAGGGCCCTATCGGTCAACGCAAGCATCCTCCAGGGGTCACTTCTCGGAACAACCCACTTTTTGATATACATAAATGATCTGCCTAAGAATTTACTCGGGTCATTAATTCTTACAATTTTATGTCATTAATTTTATGTCATTAATTTTATGTCATTAATTTTATGTCATTAATTCTTACAATTTTATGTCATTAATTTTTACAATTTTATCTCATTAATTTATGTCATTAATTCTTACAATTTCATGTCAATAAATATATGAATGTCTGAATCCAGCTATTGTCCCCAAGTTATGGATTAATTAGTAAGACTTGTACCATTTCTTTTTATGTGCCATGTCTTTTCAGGACATAGACGATCATGACTCCCCATCTCCCTATATCCCTTGCAGCTCTTAAGTTCTTTCCCTTTGCCACCTCCCCCAGTTCTGCCACCCACTTGCTTAAGGCCGCTAGGTATGTCATGCGTTGTTTTCCTTTGTCTCTCTTTCCCTCTATTCAATCCGCGAGTATCAGATTTTCCAGGCCTTCCTTCCTCATTATGTCCAAGAAGCTTCAGCCGCCTCTTCCTGATGTTAAGTATATGCTTCCTCCCTGTTTGCAAACTCACTAACACTTCATCGTTGCTTACACGCTCGGTCACTAAATCGTTATTATTTCAAAAATAATTCTTACAATCTAAAACTATTTTATATTATAAAGTACCCCGCAAAGGGTTGATAAGCCGTAAAAAACGAATCAATCTCGTTTTTCCGATCACACCGGTCAACTAGGACGGCTGGACAATCCATATTGGAGAGGCCTGCTCAGGCATATACGTGTTTGTTTAGAACGCAAAGAGCCCACACGTGATTTATATTGTAACTATGCCGAGTGGACCTTGGTTATTGTTTCTGGAAGAGTGCGTATTATCTGTCATGATCAGCTTAACGACGCCAATACGCTGAAACCCTCGGCCACGATGACTTGTGACTCTGTGTTAGCACAAACATCAACGACTTTCGAACAGTTCCATCTACCCAATTTTACCTTTAAGGATCGGATCCACTCCAAACATATTGATCCCTTCATAGCATTTTTATTCAGTCACTCAAATATTTCATTAGTAAGGAGGAAGTTCCATTCGGACAGCTGCTTCACAAGACAGCTATGTTGTGGAACAAACTCCCGAGAGAATGCTTCCCCAATTCTTACAATCTTAACCTCTTATACGTCTTCGGATTTCTAGATTACAATTTCTAGATTACGACTTGTCTTATACAGATAGTTAAATTTTTGCTTGGTTTTGATATCCCTAATATGCAATTTGCAACTTCGGCTGCCCCTTTTGCTGGCAACCATGCATCGTCTTCTTATAGCTAATAGTCCTTCATGCTTTTTCTTTAAAAATCTTTTGCGAGAGCTCTTTCAGTTTTCCTTCCAAGTCTGTCATCAACACAATACTGACAAACGCAGGTTCCTAACAGGTAGGTTCTTGAAGGTAATTATTAATGTCCAGTCCTCCAGGGCCCTCTCGATCAACGCAAGCATCCTCCAGGGGTCACTTCTCGGAACAACCCTCTTTCTGATATAAATAAATGATCTACCTAAGAATATACTCAGATTATTTGTGAACGTCTATGCCGATAATACGACTACATAGGGACGTATCTCTGAAGCTCTCGATGGTCAGAGATTAGCAATTGATCTCTCTTCCGATCTACCACAAACTACCCAATGGTGTAAAAACTCAGTGAGGTTTTTGACGACAAACAAACCTCGAGGACCATAGCACTAGATTTCTCAAAGACCTTCGACAAGGCGTGACACAAAGGCTTGTAAAGGACCGTGTTGGTTTGAGTGTTGTTGAATTAGAACACGTGCTGTTTATTCCTGCTAGAAGAAGGTCCAACTACAAGAACATGCGGGACTCAAGTTCTTTTTATAGATACAAATATTTAAGTAAATGTTCTGTTTATATTAAACAGTATTAAACAACATTTACCGGCCTGAATGTCCGGGAAATTTTTCACAGAAAATATTCGTCTTCCGACAAGATTCGAACCTGTATCCTATACGCAACCGTCATTTAGCCTGACGTGCCTTTAACCGATGTGGCCACAGAGGCACGTTCGGTTAGCAACGTCGAATTTACTGTATTTAAACAAATATCTTCCATGAATCTCTCACCTGCATTCATATCTGCTCATGCTGTATCAAATGTAAACAAATGACGTCAGACATTATGAAATGGACAAAGTCCGACAATTATTTTAAGAAATTTTTAGGTTTAGTAAATTTTCATATATTCAAATATTTAAGTAAATGCTCTGTTTATAATAAACAGTATTAAACAACATTTACCGGCCTGAATGTCCGAGAAATTTTCATAGAAAATATGCTTCCTCCGACAGCAATCGAACATGAATCCTATATTGAACCGTCGAACTGAATTGTCGGACTTTGTCCATTTCATAATGTATGACGTCAATTGTTTACATTTGGATACGCATTGAGCAGATATGAATGAATGAGAGAAAATCATGGTTAATTTAAAGAGTAAAATCGACTTTGCTAACCGAAAGCTCCTCTGTAGACCAATCGGTTAAAGGCACGTCAGGCTAAATGACGGTTCCGTATAGGATACAGGTTCGAATCCTGTCGGACGACAAATATTTTCGATGAAAATTTCTCGGACATTCAGGCCTGTAAATGTTGTTTAATACTGTTTATTATAAACAGAGCATTTACTTAAATATTTGTATCTATAAAAAAGAACGTATAAACATAAAAAAATGCCTCAAAAATAAGTGTCGGACTTTGTCCACTTCATAATATATATATATATATATAATGACGACTAGTATTGTTTAACAGAGATTTCGTTTTTCGTTGTAAGCAATCGTATCTTGTAAAAGTTCAGCCATTTAATAATTGATAGAATCACGTCTCTCCAAACGTCCATCTCTCCTAAGAGGAAAAGAGAAGGGTGCAGTACATATGGTTACTAAATCTGCACAATTATTGGCCAATAAAACACCGGAACCCTGCCTTTGGGTATCACGGATTGTTACCCACGAGCAACAGGTGCCCCCTTTTCGTTTTTTTCTATTTTTTGTTACCTCCTCTACAGAAGATGCAGACGAGGTATTTGAAATTCCGCCTATAGATCCCCTATATGACATATACTGATGTACTTAAAAAAAATCATTTATTCTGTCTCGGTAGTAAGTCCCATCAGTTCAATGAAGTCAAATTGTCGGCTGATCTCAAACACGACCTATAGTCTGTTGTTAAATGGGGCAAAGAATGGCTTGTTAATTTTAACGCCTCCAACACAAACTGCTCTCTATTAATCAGCTGAGAAAACCTTTTCTGCCTTCCATCAGCATGGCTGATGCTAACTTCCAGAAGAACGACTCGTTGCACCTTCTCGGGTTAACATTCTCAGCTGACATAAAGTGGAAAGACTGCATTGAATCCATTGATAGGTTAACTGCTAAGAAAGTTCGTTCACTGTGTCGTGCAAGACATTTTTCCTCTTCAGAATTTGTCTTACATATCTATAAGACTACCATTCGTCCATTCCTCGAATATTTGCTCCCACATATGGTCCGGTGTGCCTGCTTTATATTTAGATACTCTTGATAAAATTCAAAGACGAATCTGCATCTCAGTTTCAGACACTTTCTCATCGCTCAAAAGCTGCTTCCCTGTGCCTTTTCTATAAATACTTTCATGGTAATTATAATAATGTGCTCTTCGCGTCGCCAATAATACCTCATTTTCATGGAGACAATGAGGTATTATGGTGAATGTAGTAAGAAAGGTAAGTAAGAATGTGTTGTTTTGTTAGGAATATTGTGGTATGTTTAGGTCAGTGTTTGTGAATAGCAAAGTTTAATATTAAGGCAGAAGAAGACTGTCCTTTTCCCCATTCCCTATTTTAGCCTTGTGCCACATTTTGTAAATATTACAAATAAATTTCGCTCTTCGCTATGGAAACTAGACTTTAGAAATTTAAGCGCAGTACTAGATTAGAAACAAGGTCTCATCAATTTAAAGTGGAATTAGCTAGATGTAACCGTAAGTTCTATGCTAACAGTTTCTTCTCTCGCACTTCTCGCTTGTGGAACTCTGTTCCGTTTTCAAGCCAAATTTGGTCTTCAAAAAATTTAAATGCAATATCAATCGTTATTTACTTTCTTCCTGGTTATTCTGCTATTGTTCTCGCTCCTCAATAATACTTTCGTTTTCTAATTCTTTCTCACCCAGTAACACCTTGGGACTTGGTGGCTTTACTGCTTTTCGTGGGGTGAATTCGATTAGAACATAAAGTTTAACAGGGTATATTTTTACTGGCTAAGTCTTTAAATTTAATACCCCTATGTTAAAGTCGTCGGTATGATGTTTTCTGGGTGCTCGATTATTAAGTCCTTGTGACAGACTAAACCAAGCTTAGTGAATATCTGATTTATTTCCTCATTTCTGGCATAAGATGTCAACGCATTAATATTTCTAGAAATGCATTGAGTTCCAGATTTTTTGTGTATTTGGGATGGAAATCATTCTTTTTGGGGATAGGAATGCACTCTGCCTGCTGTTAATGCGTCCATTAAGACTAAAATGACATTTTCTTTTTTAATTCGTTGTCTCCATTTTTTTTTTTTTTTTAATTTCAGTCCATTCATTATTTCTCGCATCTACATTTATTATGAACACAAAACAAATGCGTTCGTCTTTCCCGGATTCCATATTTTTGTGTTCATCCTTTTAAATGATGATGCTTTCCTTTCAAAATGGCCGGAAATTATCTTCACATGACAAGATATTCTGTCAGAGAATATCCGTTTATATTCATTTTCTACATTTTCTAAGTTAATTTTGTTTTCAATATTTAAGTAAGGAAATCTCCCACCAGTTGCGATTCCAGACGAAATTACTATCGTGTATGTTCTATTATTACTTCAAACACTGTTCAAATAGGGAACACTTCGTAGTTAAAATAGACGCCATATAATAACGTATAAAATAATATCTATCTATCTATCTATCTATCTATCTATCTATCTATCTGTTTCTCAATCTGATCATATCTATCTCAGTCTCTCTCTCTTTTACATTATTTCATTTCTTTCTTTATTTCTCAATCAGTTCATATCTATCTATCTATCTATCTATCTATCTATCTATCTATTGTAGCATATTTACGGACGATAATGGGTATGTCCCCATTCGCATAAATACAGTAGTAAATACTGTATGTTGGTCTGCAGTTGGAGATTCATTTGTAGTTAAAATAGACGCCCCAGACGCAATGCACACTGTTTAATGAATAAAAATGGGGCGTCTATTTCAAATACGAACTATCCTCTATAATAACGTATGAAATAATATCTATCTATCTATTTATCTATCTTAGTCCTTTTCATATCTATCTATCTATCTATCTATCTATCTATCTATCTATCTATCTATCTATCTAAATAAGGTGTATTTTGGTAGCAATAATTCTCTCAAAGGTGTTCGGTTAAATAATATGTACAAGTTCTGTCTATTACTTTTAAATTTCTGAATTAGGTAATGTTATTTCAAATACGAACTATTCCCTATAATAACGTATAAAGTAATATCTATCTATCTATCTATCTATCTATCTATCTATCTATCTATCTATCTATCTATCTATCTATCTATTGTAGCATACCTACGGACGATAATGGGTATGTCCCCATTCGCATAAATACAGTAGTAAATACTGTATGTTGGTCTGAAGTTGGAGATTCATTGTGCAATTCCCTTGACTCACTTCTCGCAGTTGACTACTTCTACGCGCCGCTGGTGAATCTTATATGTGCTGTTCTTGTCCTAAGTATTATTGTGCTTTACCAACCTTTGTGTGATTATTCTATTCAGTGACCTTCCCTAGGTTACAACTCAATCTATCTCAGCCCGTTTCATATCTATCTATCTATCTATCTATCTATCTATCTATCTATCTATCTATCTATCTATCAAAATAAGGTGTATATCGGTAGCAATAATTCTCTCAAGGATGTTTGGTTAAATAATGTGAACAACTTCTGTCTATCAATGTTTTCAAATTTCCGAATTAGGTATTTTGTGTTATTGTTAATTTGCCAAAGTTCATATTTATTTTTATTTTATATCATTTTCTTTCCGGGTACTTTCGAATGGTGCTACATTGATTTTCAAGGATACTTTTGTGTCTATTCACACAACTGTTTTTTTTTTTTTTTTAATTCTGGCGTTGTTATTCTGATGAAACCAATTTAAAGCCACTGGAGGTGACGTCATATAAACGGTGAAACTTAAATTCATATGTGTGTACGTGTTTTGCATTTGGCGTTTTTAAACACACTTCAATATACTGTCCCCTATTTGCTGCTTCACTTTTATTACAACACCCTCCAGAATTTGTAGTCTTACTTCGCACTGTGTCCTATATAAAATAATATATATATATATATATATATATATATATATATATATATATATATTTTAGATTTAAGTAACGGCAGATATTTTTATATATAGTACTCAATATTAAAAATATTAAAATATTGCATTAATAATATTATCTAAAAAAGATTACGTATTTTTAAATATCAATTTTTTGTTGTTTTCCCCGACTTCGAAGTTTCTTGGTAAATTTACGTTCTTCGGGGAAATATCATTTAAATCCAGATCCATCTGATGAACGGAAATTTACCAAGAAACTTCGAAGACGGGAAAAACCGAATATATATATATATATATATATATATATATATATATATATATATATATATATATATATAAAGATTAACTTTTAAATATCAAGTTTTTTTCGTTTATATACATATGTATGTATGGGGTGCGATTGGTAAATTGTCGACATTTTATATATTTAACGACGCGCATGCGCGTTGTTTTTTTATTTTTATTTTGCCGACTGCAGAGTATAGCAGGCTCAGTTGGTTACCGTCAGTGAGAAAAGGCGCACCATGATGCAATTCACTTCGACAGAAATTTGGAAACGGCATGTTGTACTGGTTGGCATTCGCACCGGAAGCTTCAATATGAACATTTCAGAGTGTTTGGGTGTCAATATGAGGACAGTGCAGAGAATCCGGAAAGAGTTGGATAAGTCTAATGGTTATTACGACCTTGCTAACCGAACGCTCCACTGTGGCCATGTCAAGATAAATGACGGTTCCGTATAGGATACAAGTTCGAATCCTGTTGGAGGACGAATATTTTCTGTGAAAATGTCTCGGACATTCAGGCCAGTAAATGTTGCTTAATACTGTTTATTATAAACAGAGAATGTATAAACATAAAAATGTCTTAAAATAATTGTCGGGCTTTTTCCATTTCATAATATTTATATATATATATATATATATATATATATATATATATCGACAACCACAGACTGATTGTTTTGCTGTATCACAGCTCACCAGTGTGGTTACACGTCAAGCTGCAATAGAAACTGTTGAGGAGTTCACCCCTTTTTTTACACAAATGGGCTCACCCAGTCTATACATATACTACGGCTACGTGAAGACCCGGGAGAGCAAGACCTCCGAGTCTAGCTGTCGTGATACAGTCCTTGACTGTAATCGACGACTGTCAAACTCTCTGCATTAGCAGAGAGGAACCCGGACGAAGCTTTGCCGAAGGGCAAGGTTTCGTTCGGGGAGGTAGACAGGGCCTGAATCCGTCAATGCGGTTCTAAAAAGGCTATATTTTTGGCCGAGCCTACGGGCTCGGGGATACCCACACTAAACCGGCCTTATGCCATATTCAATCCTTGTGGGTGGGTTGATAAATAGCGAGCAAGACCTAAGAGTCGAGTCGAGTCTAGAGTGACAGAGTAAAAGGTTGTAGGTAACCGGAAGAGTGAGGGTGACGTAACAGCGTCGTAGGAGTCACAGTGAGCGAGCACTTAGACTCAGTAAGAAATCATACAGCGATACTTCAATACCAAAGACTATATAGATATTTTGCTACTAACCCGTATTCCTGGAACTACTAACCTGCTTTACCAGTTTGTATTATTACGTTAATACATTATTTTCATATATTAATTCCTGGCGTTTGTTATTTATTGGTACCAGATTTCAACCCGGAATCCACAACAAAAACCCAGCTGATTGGGTATTAGTCGGAGATTTTACCCCTGAGCTATCAGCTCCTGGGAGAGAGGAATTCGAAATTTTACGTAGCTATTCTTCGAATAAAGACGCCTTTGACCGACAGGACTCAGTTCATAGAAGTGCTTGCAGCATCAGCAGTAGTGGTATATATATATATATATATATATATATATATATATATATATATATATATATATATATATACCACTATATTCACAATGAGTAGATAACATATATTTGATATTAATCTGTACTAAGTAAATGACAATATATATTTGATATGAGTATTTACTAAGCTTTTAACAGGATGAGAAGCGACTTATTCCAAAGAGATTTGACGACATGAAACGATCATGAATACCTTTAGTAGACTACAGTTTTGAAGTAAGCTAATTCTATTCAATGCGTCTAGAAAAACAAACTAAAAAATCAATTCAGAAAGTTGGTTTTATTCAATAAATGTTGCTACTGTTTAGAAACCTTTGGATTTGAACCCCGAAATAACTAAAGGAAAGGAAAAATCATTAAAACTGAGTAATATTCGGAAGTTCAGAACACCAGGCCACCTCACACTTGGCACGAAGACACGGACCAGATGGTGAGTTTGGCTCAAGAATTAATCCTCCAAAACAACGAATTTGATTAAATTCCAATTACTATTCGACAAATTTGACATTGCTTTTTTTTTTGGCAACTCTTGGTCACCAACCATTCAGAATAGATCGCGTCCTGGGTAAGACGAACGATAAACTACATCCACGTCCTCGGTAAGACGATAAACTACATCCGCGACCTGCGTAAGACGATAAACTACATCCGCGAATTGGGTAAGACGATAAACTGCATCCGCGTCCTGAGTAAGACGATAAACTACATCCGCGACCTGGGTAAGACGATAAACTACATCCGCGTCCTGGGTAAGACGATAAACTACATCCGCGTCCTGGGTAAGACGATAAACTACATCTGCATACTGGGTAAAAAGGTAAACTACATCCGACAGCAAGGCTTTTGAATAGGATGTTTTGAGGAACATGGAACCACCTCTTAATTGTTGGTATTCCCAGGTCCTCCCTGACCCGGGGTGGTAGCACTTGTCAGGGTCCCAGCTATAGGCAAATAGTTACACCCCACTAATATGGTCAAGACACTATGAAATTATAAAATAGGTTTTAATACCAGCAATACTTTTTTTAAAAAAAATATTACCAGCAATAAAAATCTTGGCATTAAATAAACCATTGAGATTGATATGCCGTAAACCAAACCAAACCAAACCAGAACAGATCTCCAAGATTGAGCCAAAAGTTAAATACGGGAATATTTACGTCATATACACTCCTGATCAAAAATTTAAGACCACTTGAAATTTTTTTTAAAAGAGACTGTTTGTCATGGATACATTATAAACTTTTTCTTACTTAAGGTTACTAATTCTATAATCCAAAAGGTTATGTAGACAAAAAGTTATAATCTGATCAATTTATTCAGAAATGAACATTTTTATAAAATGAGGCGTTTTACACTTGATCAAAATTATAAAACCAGGAGGTATAAATTGTTTAGGTCTATGGTAATTCTAATGTTTTTAGTTCAGTTAGAGATTAGCAAACACGGCGTAAAGGTGTCAACATACCTAAAGCAAGCAAACTTAACGAAGTTGAGCGTGCTCGAATTCTAGATTTCCATAATCAAGGTTTGTCAAAGTGGGCAATCGCAGCTAAGGTAAATCGCAGTAAAACTGTGATTTGCAACTTTCTAAAGGACAGTGCGAATTATGGAAATTAGTAGACCCACCCAAAAAGAATTTCTTCGGCATTGAGTAGGAGAATAAGACGGGTTGTTGTGAAAAGCCAGTGGACTTTCTTCTAGTCAAATTAAGGCAGCCACAGATGCTGATTGCAATCCAGTAACCATCAGACAACACTTACGACAAAAAGGCATGGTAAATAAAAAGCGAAAACAAATTTCTCGGCTGCTTCCACGTCACAAAGTGAACCGTTTAAGGTTTGGTCGTGAATACCAAACATGGGACATTGAGAAGTGGAAGAAAGTCCTGTTGTCTGATGAGAAAAAATTAAATCTAGATGGTCCTGATGGCTTCCAACGATATTGGCATAACAAAAACATGCCTCCTGAAATTTTCTTCACACGTCATAGTGATGGAGGGTCCCTAATGGTATGGGATACCTTTTCTTACAGAGGGACGATGGAGCTCCATGTGGTGCAGGGTCGTCAGACAGCGGCTGGTTATGTTAGCATGCTACAAAAAGCATCGTTGGTGACGGAGGGCCATCGTTTGGATGGTTATTCCAACAGGATAATATTGCAATCCACGCTGCATACCGGACCTTGACCTTTCTACAAGAAAATCGGGTCCATCTCTTGAGACATCCTGCATGATCACCAGACTTGAACCCAATTGAAATAATTTGGGGACGGATGGCAAGAGATGTTTATCGAAATGGCAAATTCAACAAAAAATAAAATTCGTGAAGCTATCTTCAGAAACTGGAGCAATATTCCTCGCAGATTAATGGAAACACTAATTTCTCGCATGCTCCAAAGAATTTTTGAAGTCATCAAAACCAGTGGAGGTAGAACTCATTATTAAATTTGGTTGTTGAATGTTTTCGTACACTTTTTGTACAATTTCGTAGAATTTTTGTCTCGGGTTTTATAATTTTGATCAAGTGTAAAACGCCTCATTTTATAAAAATTTCAATTTCTCAGTAAAATGTTCGGATTATAATTTTTTGTCTACACAAACTTTTAGATTATAAACTTAAGTAAACTTAAGTAAGAAATGTTTAAAATTTTTCCATGAAAATCAGTCTTTTTAAAATTTTTTCAAGTGG